GAGAACCTTGAGTTTTAGGCATGTTGTAGCACAATATAATTAGTGTGCGGACCATTTTCATTTATATAGTGCTCTGTGAACACAAATTAGTTAACATAAATCAGTTAAATGACAAAAAATTAGGTGTCTATTTACTTGTGACCACTCAGTGTACATTAGAAAAACTAGTAGGTGAGAGCGTTAGAATTTTTAACTTGAAATTTTATCTGCAAATAGGAACCACCATAATGACACGATGTTTCTTTGGAGGTGCTGTTGCAATATGGATTTATTAGATACTACAAGCTCTAGTGTACTTCTCTCCAAGTAACCGTACAGCAAAGTTCCAAAAATAAGTTTCAAAATTTAAGAAAACGTATCATTTTTCTTCAGTTTATGAGGTCACTTACTAACTTTCCAAACCCGACCTTAGCTTTCTTTAGGAAGATACTTCTACGAAATATTTTGTATGCAATCACGTTGTAGTGGAACACTGTACTAATAATTACACAGAAAACTGACCATTCATATTTAAAAGTCAGGACAAAAAAAAACTCAAAGCCATACTTGGAAAGCATTCAGTGTCCTTCACTTTGTGAAACTGATCGGTGTCGATATATCAACCACAATTTGTTAACAACAGCTAGATTCCGAATTTTGTAAGCTGATTTGTCAAATTCAGTCCTTAACAAACAGTAAAGTGAGAACTTAGATTTAAGACTTTTGAAAAATTGTAGCTTATGTGGCTGAAACGTCTGGCTAGTAATCAAGTTGCGATTTATATTTTATTTTTTCAGAAACCCTTAAACACTTCTTCAGTTGTTGTAAAGATACGTTAAGTTTTGATATACTAGCTTTTAGCTTTGACCTATTTCTTTGTTTTTGAAGCAGTTGTTGTAAGATACCTTAAGTACATAATTTCTTTGAACAAAATTATTTTCCTCTGTGCAGCTTGTTTGTTTGTTTTTAATTATGCACAAAGCTACACAAGGGCTATCTGTGCTCCTCTGTGCAGCACTTATAAAATTAGCGTTTCTCTAGAGTTGAGTTCTTCAGTGCTTTCGCTCTTTTCATTTCAGGTGTTTGAAACTATTTACTGGAATTCAAAAAATATAGTTTTTGAAACGAAACTATAAACGAATAGAAGAATGCGCAAAAATTGTAGTTTTTTCTCTTTCATTAAGAAAAATATTTAGTATTTGAAGTTATCTGTCAAATACATAGAAATTCATGCCAGAAAACCAAAAGAGTATCCACTCTAATATGCCGAACAAGTCGCCTTAGAAATTCATAATACGTCAAAGTAAACAGGCAGAATGGTAATTATGCAGTCCTAAGTTCATTGTAGTCCAAAGCTAGTTACTTGCAGCTTACATTCAACAAATGAGACTCCTAATTGTATTATTAAACAAGCTGAAATACACATCAACTGACGGGGAATGTTTAAACTTAATTAAAATAATGTAATTTTAACAGCAATAATATATTTCAAAGTAATAATTTAAACAT